CAGGAACCTCCTAGACCGTTTCCTCTGCGCTGTGTTGTATTTTCATCAGACATCTTGGAAGTTGAAGTCCCCCAGGAGAACAAGGTCTAGCGATCATAAGACTTCTTCCAGATGCTTATAGAATATTTCATCTGCCTCTTCATCCTGCTTGGGTAGTCTAAAACAGACTCCCACCAAGATATCTGCCTTGTTACCCTTCCCTCTGATTCTTACCCATAAACACTTGACATCACCATCATTAAGCTCTAGACAATCAAAACACTCCCTAACATACAGGGCTACCCCACCACCTCTCCTTCCTTGCCTGTCCCTTCTGAAGAGTTTATAGCCATCCATTGCAGTACTCCAGTTGTGAGAGTCATCCCAGCAAGTTTCTGTGATTGCAGTATATCATAGTTTTCCAGCATCACAACAGCTTCCAGCTCCTCCTCTTTGTTGCCCATGCTGCATGCATTGGTGTAGATTCACTTCAGTCAGGCTATATATCCTGCCACCTTTATTGGGGGAGAAGCTACAGTTGCTATATTACTGTTCTCAGATACTTCTGTGGTTTCTAACACATCAACAACCCTTGTGTCTCTGCTGTCACGTGGATCTCCATCCCCTACCCTTACTGAGATGGCAAAGGAACATTCATTGCTCTCTGGTTTTTTAACTTCAGAGGTGTCCCCAATATGGGCCCCATCCCCCAGGCTTGTCAGTTTCAAGCTTGCTTCACCAAGTTTGCTTGCCTGTTGGCAGATTCCTTTGCCTTTTTTAGTCAGGTGGATCCCATCTCTCCCTAGCAGGTTATTGTCATCAAAGTGATGCCTTAAACCCCTAAGGTTTTTTCATTTTTCTAATTTTATAAGCCTTACAAGTTTTATAGGTAATAGAAGTAGATTTTAGAAATAAACCCCTTTCTCCCTCCTCCCCGTAGTATCCCTTAGTTTATATTCCTCAATCCTTTCACCCCATTCCATACTCCCTATATCACCCTACCCCCATATCCAGTAGATGATGTTTAGTCTTTTAGTCAAGGCAGGCCTGTCTTGTTTGGAGAACGCTTGTATCTTGGCCTAAACCGCAGGACAGAGTCAAGGAACTGGGTCACTCTGCTCTCTGTACGCTGAAGATGACGAAGATGATGAAGAGGGGGTCCCAAAAAGCACCCCAGACCCAATTCCGAGAGGCGGGCCAGGGGGTGGACCAGGCCAAAAGTTAGAGGATGGACACACTTGGGATTGGGCAGATATTGCTATAAATGTAACATCTCGGGCACAGCCCGGCGCGCCGTGTAACATCTATTGCCTTGGCATAATTAAACCCTTTCTTATCTCACCCCAGCTTACGGCTCCTGAATTTTTTTCGTAGCACAAGCTGAGCAGGCATCAGTTTGGTGGCCCTCACGGGGAAATCTGGACTGGACCTTCTTCAGACTGGAAACTTTCATCACGCAGGAATTCGTCATCAAGCCGGCTTTTATCTGACATAATTCCCGCCCCGGTCTGAGAAGCCCAGCTCCAAAGAACCCACGGAAGCAAGCCGGAGCATAGAGGTGAGATAAGAAAAGGCAAAATAAGGGAAAAGGTACCTGGTTTAATTAGCAGCTGCGGGAAGTTGGCAGCTGCGGGAAAGTTTTGTGTTCCCAGGAGGTGGGGACACGGGTGACTGGAAAGTTAACTTAAAGACTTGGGCCCTTTATAGTCGCGAAAGTCGCTTTCCAGTCGGCGGACGGGGTGGTCCGCCTACCCGGGTCAGAGCGAGGTTCAGCTTAGGGCTGGTTTGTTTGTCAGAAGGGACGCCTTCTGTGTGCTCTGACGCCGTGGGGGAGCCAGTGTAGGCTCTGGAGGGCGGTGAGACTTGGAACAATAGCAGAGAGGTTACTGAAACAGCTTGTAACCCCAAGGTAGCAGGTTCTAATCCTGGTGTGTGTGGTTGTGGTTCATTTGCATTTTACAAACATGGGTTGTGTGGATTCAAAGTTTGAGATCCCTAAAGAATCCCCCTTAGGCCTGGTTTTGAAACACTGGAGAACTTTAACTACTCCTCAGACAACTTTAGAGAAAGAGGAGCTGTGTAAACTGTCTATGGATATCTGGCCGATGTTTGGGCAGTTGAGAGGATTGGCTTGGCCGGAATTTGGTTCGTTTGAGTTGGATACGGTGCTTCAGTTAATTAAGCTTCTTCATGTAGAACAGAGGTGGCGGGAAGTCCCATATGCAGAGCTGTTTTCGCAGTTGATAACATGCCGTAAAATCGACATAGGAGATAAAGGGAACAAAAGTTCAGGAGAGATGGAAAAACTGGAAATGGTTTTAGGAAGAGGGAGAAAGAGAGATCGAGTTAAGGCTGCTCCTGTCCCACAAATTTTATTTAAAAACACTGGGGAAAATGATTTGGACTTGTTAATATCACCTGACAGGAGAGTAGGTAGCCCGGGGGCTGGGCAGATCGGGCTCCCCTTCCCCGCTGCGGGCGCAGCGGGAGGGGTTGGAGCTGCAGGAGCTCTCGGACCGGCTCCTGCAGGCGCTGCGGGAGCTGGACCGGCGGGAGTCGTGGGGGGGCTCCCTGGCGTGGGTATGGCTGCGTCGGGGGGAATCGGACAAGTTGGAGCCCCCGGGGGAGTTGGCTCGGGGGCGGCGGGAGCTGCCCCGAGCACGGTTAGTACGGGATCTGCTGCCATAGCAACGGGAACAGGAGCAGGCACTGTGGGAGTGACAGGGCTGGGGCCAACCCCGGCTGCGGTGGCAGCGGGGGGAGGAGCCCCAGCAGCGATAGCGGGAACAACAACAATCCCTGGAATTCCGGGAGGGGCAGGGGCGGCGCTGACAGGCGGGGCCTCTGTCCCTACTGACCTGGGAGGTGGGGCTGGAGCCGCCCCCTTTCCCACGCCTCTGCCTGCCGAGGGGGGGCAGCCCACCTTTACGGGAGGGGGAGAGAAAGAGGAACCGAAAGAGTTTACAATCTCTGGCTCTCATGAAGAGAGAACAGAGACGCAGAGACAGGGCAAACTAGTTTCGGCTGCTGAGAGAAGGCAGAAGCGAGGTTTACCTCCGTTTGATAAGAACGCGGAAGCAGAGGGCGAATTAAGTGACAGCTTGGAGGAGGAGGAAGCAGACCCACCTGTAGTAAGGCCAAAAACAAAGGGGAAGAGGGCCCGTGAAGCGTTAGCTGCCCCCGACCCGATAGCAGGTAGAACAAGAGCAAAAGATAAGCTACCGCTGGAAGCACCCTTAAGGCAAGCTGTAACCAATCAGGGTACAGTATTAATAAAGGTACCTTTCTCGCTGCTTGAGTTACAGCAATGGAAGAATTGTGTAGGGACGTATAGAGATAA